TTCATAGCTGTGCTCAGATTTTGAGTTGGTCTCTCCGTTTTCTCACATTAAGGACGACAAAATGGCGTTTTCCGGGGAAAAGCCTAAATGTCGATCCTTGTTTCAGAACGGCATCAGAGTTTCCACCCGCTGGTTCTGATCTGCTTTACGTTGCTATGAAAATATGGTCTTCGCAGTATCATACACAATAAGATCACGTTCTCTGCTTGATCGACTAAAAATACCGTACATAACGTTGCCGGTGTAACCGATTCCACGATTCCTCAATCGGTGCTAGCGACGGAAAGTCGCCCTACAATTGGAACAAATACGGAATTCCCCCCTACACTGGAAATGCTTGAGTGCCGCTTGCCTAAAAAGAGTAGCGGAATTTCTCGTTGCCCAAAAGAGCGATGTTCATTTAAGTCACTCCATTTAAGTGATGAGTATTAGAACATCGCTTGTACAGACTTATGTTCTTTGCACTGGAAATGCAAGTGTGTGAATGTCGCCTGCAGGTGCAGGTGCAACCTGCAGGTGAGCGACATTCAAACACTTGCATTTCCAGTGTGGATTGAAGCTCTTTTTGAGCAACGGCCGCTGTTGAAATAAAGCAATGATTTCGGAAGCAATGCACCGCTTTTTGAGCATGATCCCTGCATTTTCAGTGAAGCATGTAAGAGTTTTGAGGGAAAAATTCCGAGAAGAGATCGAATGACATTTGAAGACTGTCAATAATCGACCAGTTCTTCTCTGAGTTATGTTCCTCTAGTATTTGTTGTAGGATGCCAGGTTACATTGTCTCACATCCCATATAACTTGCCCCGATACATGCAAAAGTAGTGTGCTCGAAAGGAAAGAACAGAGAGAGAGTAAGCAGCTTAGCTTATGAATGAATCATCACCCCTCATTTCCTCGCCCATTTCTCATGTGTCGCATTTTTGTTTGTTGTCGCTGTGCAAATGTACAACTGGCTCCTTTTTGCGGCCAAACCGTTTGGTCTTTGTTGGGGCCTTTTTCAGCTAATGCATTTTTTTCTGTGAAAAGAAAAGATGAAAAGTTATTAATTAAAGCGGCCGCTTCGTTTGAAGACAAAGAGGAAAAAAGAAAGGAGAACTACTTGCTCTGTCATCGCACCGCACCATCTAATTGTTGTTGACGAATAGGAAAATCCGTTCCATTCCTTGTGCCGCTGGCAGACTGTGTCTGTCGCGTCCCGTCTCGCGGTTCTCGTCGGGTACAGACGAACCGACCGGCCCGCTGGGGTTTCCCGCCACCCACTCCCGGGGGGCAGCGCCGTGCATGTTCAGCGAGCGGTACAGTACAGCGATCCCGTCGCACAGCAAACCACTGGCTAGACGGTAGCTGAATATGACACTTTTTGTGATTTCCGCCGGGCACTAGAGCTGATCTGGCAGCTTCGGTCGAGTTGTCGTCATTCAGTGAAAAACGCCTGCCGCGTAGGCCAGTTGTGATGCCTGTGCATTGAAGTTGGGTTGGTGGCCTATCCCAGGGGCCGGCAGGGGACGGGCTGTAGCACAGCTGGCCTGGGGTGCGGCACGCGTGTAGGAACCCTCCACAGTTGGAAGCAGCAGGTGGTATGGACATGACACCCCGACCTTCACTTTGAAGTCCAAGCCTCGGGGCCATGCTTGCTGGACACGTGTCGGGGAGGGGGGGGGGAGCACCGAACAGAGGTACGATGTTCGATGTACGATATGTGACGTGTGTGGCAAGTGGACAAAGCGGACGAGGCGCGGGGTGGATGGGGAAGGGGTGCGC